AAACCAGTGGAATGAATAAATCACCAATATCACAATATCATCACATAGCTATGATAGGCCTCACGTCTGACTCTCCAAATAGAAATCTCATCCACTGTCATTTTCCTGCCTTCTCCCTGAACATTGTCCTCTGTCAAATAACAACCTGATTCCCTTTTGAAAAGCCTCAAGTGAACCTGCCTCACTCACACTCTCAAAGAGTACATTTCAGATCCTAACCACTCACTGTATGAAAATTATTCTTCTCATATCACCATTATTTCTGTCACTAATCACTTTAAACCTGTGCCTCTAGGTCTTGGCTCCTCCACCAATGCAACCTGTTTTTGTTTATTTACTCTTTCCAGATTCCTTTGGATTTTAAAAACTCCTGTCAAATCTTTGTCTGGACTTCTCTTCAAGGAAAACACTTCTAACATCTCCAATCTATCTTTATCACTGAAGTCTGCACCCTCACACACTGGCATCCAGAACGAGATGCAATATTCCCATCAAGACTCCCATGCCTTATAGAAGTTCAATATCACCTCACCCCTTAGTCTTTTATAACAGGCACTCCTCAAGTTCTCTCATGCCTAGCTGCCAATGAAACTGAACAATAAACTGAACTGGACACACCACATAATCTCAATGGCTACAAAAGCAGGTCAGAGGATAGGAACAGTCTAATGAGAAACTCACCTCCTGACTGCCTAAAACCCATCCACCACCTACAAGGCACAAGTCAGGAGTGTGATGGAATACTCCCCACTTGCCTGGATGGGGGCAGCTCCAACAACACTCAAGAAGCTTGACACCATCCAGGACAAAGCAGCCGCTTGATTGGCACTACATCCACAAGCATCCACTCCCTCCATCACCGACGCTCAGTAGCAGCAGTGTGTACTATCTACAAGCTGCACTGCAGTAACATACCAAAGATCCTCAGACAGCACCTTCCAAACCCAAGACCAAGTCCATCTGGAAGGACAAGCGCAGCAGATACATTGGAACACCACCAACAGCAAGTTCCCCCCCAAGCCACTCACCATCCTGACTTGGAAATATATCACTATTCGTTCGCTGTCACTGGGTCAAAATCCTGGAATTCCCTCCCTAATGGCATTATGGGTCAACCCACAGCAGGAGGACTGCAGCGGTTCAGAACACAGCTCACCCCCACCTTCTCAAGGGGTAACTAGGGATGTGCAATAAATGCTGGACCAGCCAGCAACGCCCACATCCCACAAATGAATTTTTGAAAACTCTTGCTCAATACAACCATCAAAATCCTGCTTGGGTGAAGATTCCTCAAAGAAAGGAAGCAAAGGGAGTTGAAACGTTGACGGGTGTTAAGCTGAAGAAAGACCGGGTTACATTAAGGAACAGCCTCAGGAAGGTGAGCCAGTTATCTCAGATGCTTCTTATCATCATCAAAAGGGATAAACAAGGAGCATCTCAGCAGTTTCTCTGATCATTCTCGACGTGCCCTTCCCGCTGTGGATGCAGTAGATCTGCAGGCAAGGCAGGTAAAAGCTGGAAACGTGTAAAAATCAGTCCCTTGGGTTTGAAAGAAAGAGAAAGGAATGAGTCCTTGTTTGGTGTTTATACAGATTCCAAATCCACTGCACAACTGCTCAGGCCCTTGCTCTTTGTCTGTCTCTACCAGAAACAACAGTGATCCCAACTGTAACCTGCTGTGTACTGTCCCCATGGCCTTGCTTTCAAAGGCAACAGCAGGATTAAAGTTGAATCCAAAAAAGAATGAGAATTTTAAATTTGAGGTGTAAGTGTTTTTTAGCCAATGTAAATCGGATAGTAAAGCAGAAAAGGCTGAGCAGGAGTTGATTAGGATTAGATACGGTCAAAACAGATCTGGATGAATTCAAATTTACAGAAGATGGGGAATGGGGTGCAAATAGAGAGAGTATTCAAATACCCGTATGGAGCTCGTGGGCAGTTCCTTACAGCACAGATGCATTCAACCAGCCCATGCTAGAAAACTCCAAAGCAAAACCTCTACCATTAGGTGTGATTCCACAATTTACCAACACTTGCTGAAGAGTCCTGAGTGTGCTATTAGCTGCACTGACAACCAATTTAAGTGAATCAGTCAAGCTCATCATATGGTTCATTTACACTTGCACACATTCATACACTGGACCCTATTCCCTGCATAGGCCTTTTGAAGAAGTGAACCAATATTCCAGATTCTTCAAGATAATTCAGTAATCTCTTTGCCTTTAACTAGAGAATATGGCATAAGAAGCTCAAAGTATCATTACACAGCTCACAAAGTGGAATAGTGCAACCTGTCACCTTTTATTCAATGACGTAACTTCACCATCCATCAGCACTATTTCACTGTCAAATAATCTTCTCAACAGGACAGGAGAGATTGTGAAAGAGACAAGATCAATCAAAATCCAATCAACAGGGAGTGATGCCCACTTGGCGAGCGCACACTGGGTTTGAGCCTGGTGCAACTACCCTGAGCCAACTAGTCCTTTCAACTGCACAAGCTCCAGGTCAATGTTACTAATCAGCTTCTGAAAGCCTCGTTCGAGGTCAGCTCACAACCATGGCTCATCATCCTCTACACTATTCGAAATGACAAGGTCAGGAAGAACTGTGAAATCCCCAAAGCGATTAGACCTAAGAACAACTGACTTGGGAGGAGGTGATGCTGTTGGAAATACTTCTACTAATGCTAGAAACTGAGAAAGTACTTGGGCGAGATATAGATATAGGGTTTAATGAATATGCAGGTGAGTCTTTGAGGTACACTGTGATGTAACTGTGACCTAAGTAGACATGTGATGGAGACTCTACTGGACGATTGGAGCTAAAGTAGCATAAAGCATCATTTATACACTGTTCATTCACACTGTCTGAAGAAAACCTGGGTCTATACGAGAAGCAGACAAACTCAGACTAGAACACTGTTATAAACAGTGCTGGGATTCCTCGACAATACCCAAATCAATGTGGCATTAACTGTGATAACAAGGTGTAGAACTGGATGAACACAGCAGGCCAAGCAGCATCAGAGGAGCAGGAAAGCTGACATTTCGGGCCTAGACCCTTCTTCAGAAATGGGGGAGGGCAAGGGGGTTCTGAAGTAAATAGGGAGAGAGGGGGAGGTGGATAGAAGATGGATAAAGGAGCAGATAGGTGGAGAGGAGTCAGACAGGTCAAAGAGGTGGGGTTGGAGCCAGTAAAGTGAGTGTAGCTGGGGAGTTAGGGAGGGGACAGGTCAGTCCAGGGAGGATGGACAGGTCAAGGGGGCGGGATGAGACTAGTAGGTAGGAGATGGGGATGGGGCTTGAGGTGGGAGGAGGGGATAGGTGGGAGGAAGAACAGGTTAGGGAGGCGGGGATGAGCTGGGCTGGTTTTGGGATGCGGTTGGGGGAGGGGAGATTTTGAAGCTTGTGAAGTCCACATTGATAGGGTTCCCAAGCGAAATATGAGGTGCTGTTCCTGCAACCTTCAGGTGGCATCGTTGTGGCATTGCAGGAGGCCCAGGATGGACATGTCGTCCAAGGAGTGGGAGGGGAAGTTGAAATGGTTCGTGACTAGGAGGTGCAGTTGTTTGTTGCGAACCAAGCGTAGGTGTTCCACAAAGCGGTCCCCAAGCACAAGATGTGCAGGTGAACATCTGCTTGATGTGGAAAGTCTTCTTGGGGCCTAGGATGGGGGTGAGGGGGGAGGTGTAGGGGCAGGTGTGGCACTTCCTGCGGTTGCAGGGAAAAGTGCCGGGTGTGGTGGGGCTGGAGGGGAATGTGGAGCGGACAAGGGAGTCACGGAGAGGTGGTCCCTCCGGAAAGCAGATAAGGGTGGGGAGGAAAAAATGTCTTTGGTGGTGGGGTCAGATTGCAGATGGCGGAAGTGTCGGAGGATGATGTGTTGGATCCGGAGGTTGGTGGGGTGGTACGTGAGGACGAGGGGGATTCTGTTTTGGTTGTTATTGCGGGGAGGGGGCGTGAGGGATGAGTTGCGGGAAATGTGGGAGACATGGTGGAGGGCGTTCTCGACCACTGAGGGGGGGAAGTTGTGGTCCTTGAAAAACAAGGACATCTGAGATGTTCAGGAGTGGAATGCCTCACCCTGGGAGCAGATGCGGTGGAGGCGAAGGAATTGGGAATAGGGGATGGTATTTTTGCAGGAAGGTGGGTGGGAGGAGGTGTATTCTAGGTAGCTGTGGGAGTCGGTGGGCTTGAAATGGATATTGGTTTCCAGGTGGCTGCCAGAGATGGAAACAGAGAGGTCCAGGAAGGGGAGAGAGGTGTTAGAGATGGTCCAGGTGAACTTAAGGTTGGGGTGGAAGGTGTTAGTGAAGTGGATGAACTGTTCGAGCTCCTCGTGGGAGCACGAGGCGGCGCCGATACAGTCATCAGTGTAACGGAGGAAGAGGTGGGGTTTAGGGACAGTGTAGGTACGGAAGAGGGATTGTTCCACGTAACCTTCAAAGAGGCAGGCATAGCTTGGGCCCATGTGGGTACCCATGGCCAGCCCCTTTGTCTGTAGGAAGTGGGAGGATTTGAAAGAGAAGTTGTTAAGGGTGAGGACGAGTTCGGCTAAGCAGATGAGGGTGTCGGTGGAGGGGGACTGGTCGGGCCTGCGGAACAGGAAGAAGTGGAGGGCCTTTAGGCCATCTGTATGGGGAATGCAGGTGTATAGGGACTGGACGTCCATGGTAAAGATGAGGTGTTGGGGACTAGGGAATCGGAAGTTTTGGAGGAGGTGGAGGGTGTAGGTGGTGTCACGGATGTAGGTGGGGAGTTGCTGGACCAAGGGGGAGAAAATGGAGTCGAGATAAGTAGAGATGAGTTCGGTGGGGCAGGAGCAGGCGGAGACAATGGGTCGACCAGGGCAGTCAGGTTTGTGGATTTTGGGAAGGAGATAGAAATGGGCGGTGTGGGGTTGGGGAATGATGAGGTTGGAGGCTGTGGGTGGGAAGTCACCTGAAGTGATGAGGTTGTGGCATTAACTGTGACTGGACTTTCGAAATTGGTCGACTTTCCACCTGAGAAACAGGCACAGCATAATCCTATTTCAAGGCCACTGTCAGTACATTGGCAGCTCACCTGAAACGACAATTACACAATTCTTAAAAAAGGCTGATATTTTCAGCTTCTATCTTTTGAAATCTTGGGTAACAATTATTTTAAAACCAAAGCTAAGCTGTTGTTACCAATTATAAAACCAGTTCTGATGGAAATAAGCAAGCTTGAAATATCAGTTTCCATATCATTTCTGCTGAGGTTAATTCAATTTTCATAATGTAGTTAGCTCTTGGAAGCCACAGTCATAATTTCATTTGGTATCTTAAAAAGTAAAAGTAATTAATCGGAGATTGTTGCCAAGCCAATCCCCCCATTTACATGGAGGTTTTGGAAATATAAAATATCATATATAATTCAATAAATGTATTTGCCACTTAGATAACAGTGTAGATGCAATTTGCAAATTCTGTTTATCATAAACATTAAAAATTCCAAACTGAAATAAGAATTGCATTCACTCTTCACTATCCAAGCACTGAATTGGAGGTTCCTGTAACCAGCTGCATCCCAATGTACAATGCCACAAAGTTGTGCAGAGAGAACAGATGAGCAACTATTTTAAACAGTCTGTTAGCTCATAACGCAGAAATTGAACCAAATATTCTTGATCTGAAATTCTTACTGCAAGTAGGAAAGACTACTTCAAACTTTCTCACCCAGGTCTGTCATTACCAATAAAGTTCAGATTTATTTATGGGGGGGGTGTCATTAACTTTATTAACTTGCTACTGTCTCACCATGAGTGTCAGGCACAGGTAATTCTCTGGACCACCTCTGATTAGTCGAGAAACCCAACTGCTTGCCCTCCCATGTTTAATCTGGGCTGGTACCCCTCAAGTTGTATACCTGCTTGTTCCTCCCCAACAGGAGAGGCTCTAGCCTATCACTAGACTATTAATCCAGGTAATGTTCCAGGGGCCTGGGTTCAAATCCCACCATGGCAGATCGTGGAATCTGAATTCAATAAAACAAAATTAAGTCTAATGATGACCATGAAACTGCTGACAATTGTTGGGGAAAAACCCCCCATCTGGTTCCTTTAGGAAAGGAAACTGCCATCCTTGCCTGGTCTGGCCTACATGTGACTCCAGACCCACAGCAATGTGGTTGACTCAACTGCCCTCTGAGCAATTAGGGACGGGAAATAAATGCTGCCTGGCCAGCAACGTCCTCATCCCGTGAATGAATTAAAACAAAGAGAAAAGTTTCTGCTTAGTCCACGGCCAATTATCTCTCATTTAGATCTGGTGTTTACTGTTTATGTTTCAATCCAAAATCATGCACAGTTTATGCATAACATTGAAATGAAAGCAAAATGCTAACTGTTTTGTTACTAAAACCCAGGCCAAGCTGAGTGTGATTCAAAGATCTTAGCCATATTGGGAAGCTGCAGTTGGACTTGCTGCATCCAAATAATATTTCAGTAGAAAATTGGCTTAGGTTTTCATTCTAGGTTGTGATCCAGCTACAATGCACACCCATGTGAATGTCAGGTCCACAGTACAGCTGCTGGCCTAGGCTCTTGGCTCCTGTACGGTCCTACCCCAGGGTCACATTGCTCCTGCACACCAGCATGGGCCCAAGTGAAGAATGGATCCTACTCAGCAGGATACAGATGGGCTGCCAGTTAACAATTCCATTCATTTCTCCTGCTGCTGTGCAGCTCTCACTGAGTTTGGGGGCTCTGAAGGTTATTTACAGGATGAGTAGAATCTTCAGGAGAAGGAAGAAGCAAAATAGGTAGGGGCAAATGTTACACCACCCCACCCCAAAGCAGACAAATGTCAAATTCCTTAAAACAATGGGCTACAGTTGGCTGTCGAAGTGATAGTAAGGAATTTACACATAGTTAGTAAACTAATTAAAAACTCAGAGATGCACAGCTAAATGTGGATGCCCAGAAATTGCAGTGAAGTTGTGCCATTCCATTGTTAGCGTTGTGTAAGCAGTAATTCACTCTCTTCCTTACCTTCGGAATGTAGAGAATCTCATGATCATCCCGCAGCTGTACAATGGACACAATCTAAACCCACCTCAGAAACGTATGGCCGGTACTTAAAATATCCAGCAGCTTTTTGACAATGTGTTTATTGTTAATTGCTATCAATCAACTTCAGTGGCCCAGAAAGAAAACAATTACAAGTCTAAAAGCTCAACCCGTTAGGTTTTAATTATTATAAAAGGTTTAAAACATGTCTGATTTTTTTTCTACCATTCCTATTGCTTTTTTCTTCCTCTCAGGCCAATTGTTCTCTCTTTTATGATCACCTTCTGTACCTGATTTGACAGCAAATTCATCCATTCAAACCAGCACTGCTCTTTAGGTCCTTATGCCCTGCTGTCTCTATCTCCAATGTGCTCGGTGAACGGTGAGGCGGAACAGATATTTTACTCAAATCCCAAATGCCTTGTTTCTTTCATCCTGACACCAGCAGGCTCAATTTTCAGCAGTTTGCAATGTAAACAATCTAAGCACAAACCCGACAAACTAACTGGAGATTCTGGTACAGCAAAATCTGGGCCAGGGTTAGTCAGAATCATCATGTGACTTCTTCAACTATATGTTCTGAATGTTCACAATAAATTGATATTGAAGATGCCCAATAAAAGAATGAAATGCTATTCTGGCTAAAAGCTAAAAGGTCCAGTCATTTTTAATATTCTCCATTTGCATATAATATAATTTCAACAATTGTCTAATTTCATCAAGTAATTCAGAAATTACTCTCAGTAACATAACTTGGGACATTTACTAACAAAGTTCATTTACAAGGATTGGTTATTTCGAGTCTGTCTAATTACCATGTTCACTCCATAGAACCAGCAACAACTGCAGATTGTGATATTTAATGGAAATACTCCATTAACATATTTCTTTTAATAATATCATGTACAGAGCTTTCAGTAAAATCATATTTGGCTGACAGCACAGTAATCTTTAACAGATGGCGCGTCTAAAAGCTTTACCTTTCACTATCTCTTCACAGATGTGATTGGTCTCATTTTATAACTGCCTTATTTCTTTTGACAGACTGTAGTAATAGACAGGAAATGGACAGTTCTATTTCTCTGCTTTCACCCATTGAGGTTGCCCTCAGAGAGTGGGAAATGGAAAAACCAAACTGCTTGGTCATTACTAATGCTAATCTCATTCTCTACTCTGGCATTAAATTAATGTGAGGCATTAATTCAGTTGCCATTGGTCAATAGTATCAATGAACGCTTTCATGCTAAGTAAGATTGAGAACACAATTGAAACGCTGAGTGAGTACTCAATGTCCCCTTGGGAATCAGCTAACTATTTCCATTGATTATGTACAACTGGGAGCTTCCAGGTACAGCCAGTTGCTCAGACAAAGGAAACTCCAAGGAAGATAACATCTGTACAGCCTGGTGAGGCTTCCTTCTGATCATAAACCACTGAAAGTGGAAGGAAGGGTTGAGAACGCTTTATGAACAGGGGCGTAGAGAACAACAGCAAGAGGTGATTTAGGGCTTTGATGTAAAACGTTGTAACAGCTTCAGCTGGTGTCTCACATCCAGTCCTGAAGATCACACTTTAGGAAGGACGTGAGGATAATGAAAGAAATGCAGAAAAGATTCACAAGAACAGTTCCAGTGATGAGTAACTTCAGAAATGAAAACAGATTGGCGTTCCTACTGAATAAAAGGATCAAGAACCGGAAGTAGCAGATTTAAACTCACCATTAACAAAAGAAAAAGCAAACACAAGGAATAACATTTTCACACAGTGAGTGGTTAGGATCTGGAATGTACTGTCTGAGAGTGTGGGGGAAGCAGGTTCACTCAAGGCTTTCCAAAGGGAATCAGGCTATTTATTTGAAAAGGATGAACATGCAGCAATACAGGAAGAAGGCAGGAGAATGGCACTAATTGAGGTGTTCACTCAGGCAGTTGGCACAGATATGATAAACTGATTCTGCATTAATTGATCATTCTGTATTGTTCAGCAGCACAGACCACTCAAACCACATCATCAATTTCTGTGCTGTACATTCTATGAATGACATTGAAAATAATCAATCACATAAATCAAGAGGATTACATTCCCTTCATGTGCTAGATTATAGCAACCACAAATTTCAAATGTCTACTCTCCCAAACAGTATCCATGATGCATCTGTTCAGCGCCAAGTTAATATGACCTAGTTATAGGGAGGAGACAGGCCTAGGTGCTTGGTCGCACTGTGATGTAACGTAACCTTTCAATAGCACTTCCTGAAGTCTGCCCAATTGGAGCAGAGCTTGACTGTACTGAGACCCACATCAATGTGCTGATCTTTAAGAGACATGTGATTGGACAGTGCGCAGAATACAAATTTATATTAGCGTGTGGGAATGTGCGAGTGCTTGTGGTTGAACGTGAGTGTGTTTGCGTTTGCTGAGAAGTTCATGACCACCTTGTGCTCTTTCTGAACCTGCCCTCTCTCTGAATGTAGCTTAAAGTGAACTGATCCTTGGGACAGCCTGGAACCAGGTGACTATTCGATTGGCCCAGCTCCTTTTGAGGAAAAAAGGAAGAATTTTGTGTTCAGCCAAGATCTATGTCACTTTAGAAATGAATTCTCATGATATGAGCTTGGTAGCAAGACCAGCATTTATTGCTTTCTCTTAGTTTCCTTGAAGGTGTTGGGGCTGCTGTAGTGTATATATCGTGGCAGATCCTGCAAACGCTTATCAAATGCTGACACTTAAAGCTGTTAAAATGCCGATACTTAACTGCCCTCTGGGCAATTAGGAATGGGCAATAAACACTGGCCTAGCCACTAACACCTACATCACATGAATGAGTAAAGCTGAAGAATGTAGGACAGACAGTTGATCCTTCAGCTATGTCAGAACCAGATGTTTCATCATCAAACATCTCTAAAAATGTGCAGCACAGTAGTTTGAGAATAGAATCCTTAACCGTATGATATCAGTTTCAGATATTCACTCTACTGGGGAAAACACAGGTCAGGTGTTATTGACTCACAATGCTATAATCTCCTGCTCTCAAT